AGTTTTACTGCCGCCAATAATGATGATTGGCAGTCAGCTGCTTCACCTCCGACTCGCATGAAAGTGAAGCTTCCAAACGTTTTAGTGATTCCGCCATCAGAAGAGCCTTTGCGGCCCGCATACGCAACACTTGCAGCTGTTCTGCCAGATTGTCAAATGAAGCTGCCGCCATAGTCAACTGCTGTTTCAGTCGTGCCAACATTTCATCGCTACCAGATATCGCTAAAACCATCTTCGAGAACCCTGCAACCGCCTCATTAAATTCATCGTGATGGACCTCAATGTATCGACCTAACATTACGTCTATATCCTCTTGAAGATCGTAATAAGGTGCCAGACGCTCGTCAATTTCAGTCGCAGTGGCTTCCGTGCCTCCTTCATTGGCAATAATCTCTACTCCACGCTCAAAAGGAACAAAGTTTTCCAAAAGAAGCTCCGGATCCACTTGCGAAAAGAGGAAATTTGCACTACGAACAAACTCTCGATCCACGTGACGCGCATCCCCATCCTCTTCATACTCATCGTCATCGTATTCATCCTCTCTCACATTCGGCGAATGATAAAATAATTTCTTCGCAAGAAGTTCCGTTTTACTACTTCCTTGCACGTTTCTGCTTTTTTCTGCGAGAACACCACCCGCTTCTGATGCATCGGCAACCGACAAGATGTCACCTTTCCGTGCCAAATTACTCATTAGCGCACCCGCTATTGATCTTGTTGGGGCCTGACTACGACCAAAAACTGGAGGTGCGTCGGCAATCGCCAGACTATCATTTCCTTCACGCCTCGGCCATCTCCCTTCACTTTCAACAGTTGAATCCTCACCTTTACTCCGCAGCTCCTCGTCAATTTCTTGCTTCTGCGTCCCAAAAGAAGAGAGGGCATTGCTGCGCAGAAAGGCTCCGGCACCTAAAATGTTGGCTGAGGCCCCACTAAATAGAGCGCCGCTTCCAACAGCAAATCCTGTGTTCCCGTTGTCATGCCCATTGTTGCGGATGCTAGCTGTCGAAAAGGGGCTGGTCGGGGAAGGGCCAAAGGTACCATTGCCCGCCGCCCCGCTGTAACGCCACGCCATTGCCTCTACGGTACCGCACAGCCCAGACCTTCGCCCTCCTCCCTTTTGTAAAGGTGCTCCTGCTGCTCTTCCTTGTTTTTTTGTGTTGTGCCTCCTCTCCGCGTTTTGAATTACTGAGGGGAAAAGGAGGAAACAAAAGAGACTAAGGGTACAAATAAATAAAAGAGAGAAGAGGCGCGTGTGTAGTGGGTCCAAAAACATCCTACATCCCCACGGAGAGCAAAAAACACAACAAAAAAGCATTATACAAAGAGACGTCGATCGAGAGCCGTTGTTAAAATCAAAGTGAATGATCGGAAAAAGAAATTAAAAATAAATAAAACAGAGAAACAAAATAGGCATTCCAGCTGTGTTTCTTCCCATTCCTCCGGCGATGTCTTTATTCAAATCCATTTTTATTTTCATTTCTTGCAGCTTCGTCTAACTGAATTTGGTCATCGAGGAGTGAAGGGCGTTCTTCTAGTTCTTGGAAAACTTCCTGCCCAGCTTGCCCGGTGCGGACTTGCTGACAACCTCCAGCACGTTGTAGCGGATCGTCTTGCTCAGCGGACGGCATTGGCCAACAATCACCTCGTCACCAGGCTTGGGGTCAAAACAGGGGCTGCAGTGCACCGTCAGGCTGCGGTGACGCTTCTGGTAACGCTGGTACTTGCGGATAAAGTGCAGATAGTCGCGACGAATGACGATAGAGCGCTTCATCTTGGTGGAGTGCACAACACCGCGAAGAATGCGGCCGCGGATGGACACGTCGCTGGTGAAGGGACACTTGCGGTCAATGTACTTACCGTTGATAGCCGCCTTTGGAGTCTTGAAGCCCAGACCAATCTTCTTGGAGTAGCGGATGTGGCCGCTCATGTTGACGTGCTTCTTGTTTGGGTTGTGGCTGTTCTCATTGACCGCCGTCTGACGCTGGTAGGCCTTCTCATGCTGCAGCGTCAAGTCGACGGAGTGCACGCGGGCGTACTGTTCCGGGGCTGTCATTTGCTTCTCGTTCCTTTTTTTTTTTTTTTTTGGTTGTTGTTGTAGAAGAAGGGGAAGAAAGAAAAAGAGAGAGATATATGAATGCGTATCCATCATAAAAGAGGCAGTAAATAAAATAAAATAAATCGCCATTCCTGCGCAATGGTTATGCACAAGTACCACATCGACGCAACAAACATTTCCCCTCCACTCCCTCGTCCCACTACCAAAAAGCCGGCAGCAAGAAGAACTCACCGCATGAAGATTTTTAGCAAAACACACACATACATACATACATACATACATACATATATATATATATATATATGCCCACACAAACACACAAGAGGTGAGTGGGGAAGACAATGCGCACTCTTCTTTTTTAGCGTCTATGCTCTAACTCTACCGTCTCTTCGGTGGCGGCGTCCCCCTGCGCAGCCCTCATCATTCCCAATGAAGGCGGTGGTGGGGGCGGCTGAAAACGAGTCAACGATGCTTCCCACGATGGATGTACCAACGCGTGGACCCCGTCGCCAGGGCTTCTCCATGAATTCTCAGGGGCCGACATGGCGCCATCTTCTCTGTTCTGCAACGTGCCGGGATCCGGAGTCGTCGTACTAGGCGTCATCGGTCGACTGACACTCGGGCCAAAGCCGGGAGAAAAATGTCGGTTCTCAACGTGTTCCGAAGGCCCCACGTGCGCCGCGGTCGTGCCAAGAACCACCTCGTTACCAGAAATTGTGGTACCCTCTCCCTCTCCATGCCTCACACCAGGCGGGGGTAAATTGTATGGCTGAAACCGGTGTTGTTGTTGTTGTTGCTGCTGCTGCATCCCTGGCCCTTCCGATGCATGGTTATACGGCGTTTCTAGTTGTGTTGCCTCGTGATTGAGTATCCTTTCGCCTGGATTCTTCTTAATCCGTAAAAAAATTGCCACCAACGCATTCAGCAAAAAAAGAGCTAACGTCATGTAAAAGGATACACGCAGCTCAATGTACGACGTGACAGTGGTGAAATTATTGGCCTGACGTCGTGTACACTTTAAAAAGTAAAATCGCAGCGACTTATTTTCTTCCTCCACATGCTTCAGCAGTACAATACAAATGATAATGAGGCACAACTCCCAGGCAATAAATAAATCATGTCGAATCACCACAAAATGATGTCGTACCTCTTGGAGTGTCATCCAAAGCCATAGACGATTTATTGTACAGACAACAAAGTTCAACGAGGCACATGTAAACAACAGACGTATATTTGTTGCACTACGACTAATAAAATAACCCACATTTTCGGTAGATAATAAATAACTGACTTTGCTGAATACAGTCCGTGATCTGTTCACCAAAAAACTGCAACCATCCAAAAGATAAAAATTCTCTAGATCGAGCGGGGAAGTAACAAAAAAGTTATTCACCATGGTAGCGGAAGCGGCACTAGATGTACGAAAAATGGCAAAGAGCAAACACGCAAGCTGTACTCCAATGGTGAGCGTGTGGACATGAAGAAGCCACCCCTCTCCACGGGTACGGTGCAAATTGTACGCCCGCTGATCCCTGCCGTAGATATTCATTACAACGGCGAATGCTTTCCCCTCCTACCCACGCCCAGTTACAGTAATAAACTGTACAAGTCTATTCTAACCACCCGTCCTAATGACGCTCCCCACACTTTCCCTCCCCTCTCTCTCTTTACGTGTGTATGTAAGTATGTGTACTCAAAGAATAAAGAGGAAGCAGAGGCAGAAGCGGAGGGAGCAGTAGTCTCCTTCTGTTACACGCCTCCCCCTCCCCTCGGCTCTTTTAATGGCTCCACTTCTTTCCTGCACGTACTTACAAAAAAGCCTCTTCCCAATCAAAATACTTTTTGTAAGGACAAATATAAAAACAACAACAAAAGAAGACTACGCCAAGACTAAACAGCCAAAGAAATGGAGAGAGAAAGAGAGATACACACAAACACACACACACACACACAAAAGAAAAAAAGAAATGTTCAGACAACAACAAACAACAGTGTTGATAATAACAACAACAACAACAACAATAACACAAAAGTTCGCATAGGTGTTACAGGAAAAAGGCGGAACAGAATGAAGGAAAAATGGGAAAGAAGAAGAAGAAAAAAAAAAAAAAAACACACACACGTGTACAGAGTCTTTTATTATTATTATCATTATGATGATAAGTATTATTATTATTATTATTAATATTATTTTTTTTTTTTGGTTCTCCTTGTCCTTTGGAAAACATGCCTTCTCTGAGCATTAACTAGAAAGCAAGCAAAGAACAACATGTACACGTATTCTATTGGCATGCGTGCAGGAAACAAGAAATAACTGAGAAAGACGCGGAAGAAAAAAAAGAGAAAAAAGAGAAAAAAAAAGGAAAAAAAAGAAAGAAAAAGAGCCAAGAGGAGAGGAGGAATAAAAATAAAATAAAAAAATAATAAAAAGAAGAAGAAAAGTTCGTTTCATTGAAATTGCACCAAGGCGAAGAGGTTGACGGTTACTCCCTTTTCTCCCTTCCCCCCTTCGCACCAATGTCGCCACACGTCATCATTTCATCTCATTCCTTCTCTCTTTCTGTTTCTCTGTTTCTATGTTTCTCTCTTTTTTTTTTGGTTGTTTTTCAATTTATTTTTCTTTTTTTCCCCGCCGCTAAAATTCCCTCCTTACAACCATTCCTCGTTGCTTCTCAATGCGCCTACAGCCGTGATGCCCCATAATTAAGCAGGCATTGCCTGTCTGCTCCTCATCCCCCCCCCCCCCCCCAACAACAACAAACAGAAAAAAGAAAAAAAAATAATACATTAAATACATTAAATAGATAATAAAGAAGAAATAGTCCTGGTCCCCAACTTGTACGTAAAAACCACCGTAGCCATATATATATATATATATATATATATGTGAATGCATGGAAAGCATTTAACGTGCATCTGCAATCCTTCCACCTTCCGCATTTCTTCCCCACCACCGTTTTATTCATCTCCCCTTTTCTCATCCCGTGTGACTGCGCCCGAGCGTGTGGGGAGGGGAGCAAATAAACGCGTTGATTTCATCATTTTCTTCCCATTGTGCCTCTCCTCCCATCCCCTCCACACAGGCACACACAAACAGTTCCCTTCCCTTTCCCTCTATTCGCCATTTTTTGAAGGAACGATAACAAAAACAACAACGAAAAAGGAAAAAAAAAAAAAAAAAAAAAGAAAATGAACAAACAAACACCGGCTGGATGCCTTTAAAAGCAAAACAATCGCAAAGAACAATGAAAGGGGGCGCAACGACGACAAAAAAGTGCAACGAAAAGAAGGAAACAAGAGTGAGAAGGCGTGCATATAAATATATATATATATATACAAAGAAAGGTAGAAAGAAATGGATGTGATTTCCTTTTGCATTTTCTTTCGACTTTTTCCCCCCCCCCCTTTTTTTTAGGCACCAATTCTCTCCCACACGCGCCGTCCCTTCGGCTGCTGCTGCTGCTGCTGGCACCGCAACCCACAACACACCTGCCGGGTGCGTCTCATCACCGCTGCCCACGGCGGTGACATTTCTGTTCCTCCGCGCCCCCCACCCACCCACCCACCCATCTTCTTCGAGGGGGGCAAGGGGCGGGGGCAAAACAAACAGACGAAGTCCCACAAGATGTGCACAAGAAGAGAGACACAAAGAGAACTTGCACGCAAAATACCCTCAAAAACACAAAAATAAGAAGAAGTATTGGAATGGCAATTGCAAAACTTCTTTCTTCTTCATTGTCAATACAACGAAGGAACAGGAGAGCACATAAAAATCCCACTTTTTTTTTTGGCTCTTCCTGCTGTCTTATCAGAGACCCACCCATCCACTCATACACCCGCCCCACACCTCGCAAAATGCATCTCCCTTTGTTGTTGTTTTTCTTCTATTCTCAGCGTCCGTTCTATTGAACTTTCGCGTCACACAAACTCTTTTCTTTTTGGCTCTATTCATTTTATTCCTCTCCCTTTATCGCTCTTTTCTTTTTTTCTTTCTTTTTTTTTTTTCTCTCTCTCTCTTCTCTCCCCCTCTCCCTCTTTTTTTTTTTTTTTCCTCATTCGTGTTTTCCAGAGGCCTTAAATCTTACTGATTCATGTATTGGCTCTGGTTAAGTTGAGTGCTGATGTCAGTCAGCTCCCGTACCTGCATCTCAAACCTCTCCTGGAGTTCCTTCATGACGCCGTGATCGGTGTACTTGCGGTTCTCACGTTTAATCTCCTTCTCCTCATCGGTGAGAAAGGCAATCGTCAGGCCCTTCGTGCCAAAGCGACCCGCACGACCCACGCGATGAAGGCATGAATCCGCATCGGATGCCATATCAAACTGCACCACAAGGTTTATACGATCAATGTCGACACCACGACCAAAAAGATCCGTGGCAACAATAATGCGGGTGTGGTTTGATTTGCAGCTCTCATATACACGAAGTCGCTCAGGCTGTTCCATGCGAGAGTGAATGGCCATTGCAGGAAACTTAAGA